GCTCAGGTCATGATCCTGGAGTCCCTGGATCGAGTCCCGCATCGGGCTCCCTGCTCAGCAGGGAGTCTGCTTCTCCCTCTGACCCTACCCCCTCTCATGCTCTCTATCTCATTGTCTCTCAAATAAATAAATAAAATCTTAAAAAAATAAAAATAAAAATAAAAATGAAACTCCTTCCTGTCCACTTCTCTTTTCACCTAATATCTCCCTTCCTGCATCCTAGGGCTGCTTCTCCCTATCCACTCTCTCACTATCAACTTGATTCGCACCCCCAACCAGTCCTGGGGTCAGTTTCCATCCTAGATGTAAAGCCACTGGGTCACCTTCCCCAGCTCCTCCTCTCCCACAGCCAAGAGTAAGAAAGGACTATTGTGTTTCCTACCAACGGTAAGTCACATTGCTACCCTCTAGTGCCTTGGATAATTGAGAATTGACTGCCTCATCACCTAATGTTCTCCTCTTTCAAATGCCTTATTACCTTCCATTTCAACCAAGGACCCAGCTAAGAAACAATCCATCAGTGCTCATTTGGCCTGGCATCAATAGGACAGGAATCTCTCCTACAAGACCTCCTAGAACTGCATCCTCCTCACAACAAAAGCAGAAAGCAACTATGAACTCTCGTGCCCAGCTGACTCTGAAGGACAGTCCCCCACATCCTGTGCTTAGCATTTTCTGGGAGGCAATGAGACTTCACCTCCACCTACCAGCCGTCTGGAACCCAATGATGGCCGGCACGGAGCGCACGGGGGGGGCGGTGGAAACGCTCACGGTGTAGTTGGTGCCTTGGTACAGATCTAGGCACACTTCTGGGGTCCTGCTGTCTGTGGTCACGTTGACTGTCTCCTCGTGAACTGATCCCACAGGGTGCAACCGTTGTCCTTTCATGTATATCTTTGGGAGGGAAAAAGAAAAAAGAACCCGCTGTGACTCTGGTGAAAACAACTGAGAGACTTGGTGGAGCGGAATCCCATTCTCCTGCTATTCCTTTGACACCACACTGTGCACGCAGAGGAGATGAACAAGGTCAGCCTCTGCTATCAGGTATCTGGTGCTGAAGTCTGATCAGCCCAGTAACCAATAAACCCTAAGAAGTGACATAAAATGAGGAGTCCCTCTAGGGAGGCCTAAGCTGCACACAAAGGACCAGCCTTCCGTGGAGGCAGTCACAACCTGTCCCCGAGGCAGCAGATGTTTCCAGGCCTCCTCTGGGGGAGTGAGATACAAGTGCTGGGGAACAAGCGATCATGATGATGCCACATATAAACAATATATCCCCCACACATACCCCCTGCCGAATGACACATATATTTATTTAATGACACATTTAATGACACATAAATTAAATAAATGACACATTTATTAAAAATAAATAAAATATTTATTTTATTTTACAGAATGTAAAATAAAATAAACCAGGTATCTTAAAAAAAAATCTGATCACTTTTTAGAAGAACAATCAGACAATGAGATGGAGAAGCCCTCATGAAAGGAAGTCTCTCCAAGTCATGTTCCTAGCAGGAAAAAGTGGTTCATTTCACTTACCACGTAAACAATCTTGGAGATGATCCTTCCTGGATTTATCTGCCACCTCACACAGGTATTATTAAACACTGATACATCACTAATTTCTGTAATTATTTCTAAAATAGAAAAAGAGAGAGTCCACTCACAAAATGCATCAATGGCCTCTGGCATGACTCAGTTTCTCTGTGCAGCTCATATCTCTGCTAATCACCATTCATGCTCTGATTCAGAAAGCAAATCAGGCAATTCAAGCTGCCCCAGGCCAGTCACCCCATTTCTCTTCATCAAGAATGAGCCTGGCCTATTACCTGACTTGGAGGAAAAGAAAAGATAGACACCTGCTTGAGAATGGCTAAGAACTCCAACCTGTGATTGGCCTGGCAGGCCACTGGATGCCACCGGCGTTCCATTCCTGCGGGATAGAGAGCCCTGAGCTGCGCCCTGAATCTCCCCTGCAGCTGCCCAGGAAAGATGTGTTTCCGGCTTTGTACCACCTGGCTGACAGAACACTCTTTATTTCCAGGTCACTGCTGTTCCCAAGAGGGAAATGACACGTATCCCCACACGGGACCATTCCTCAGGAGCAGCTTGGAGTAAACTAAATAAATTCTCCATAAGGTCCCTGGATATTTCTGGGGCTTCTCTAACTGAAGCTATTTAATTCTGATTTATCAGAAAGCCACTGATTTCTTCAAGTTGTCCTGCTTCTTTTAAATATTCTGTGTGTATTTCATGTAATAAATTTGGCAATATGGGAAACCTTGGTTCTGAGGTCACAATTTCCAATGGACTTTATTGGCTCTCTTTCCTCCCCTGCTTTACTCACTGTACCCCTCACCCCTGCTTCCAGGGATATCATTCCCCATTGTGTAATAAATGTAAGCTCTGAGCCTCAGGCTCTGCTTTCTGGGAAACCCAAGGTAAGACTCCCATCAAGAAGGGTGAGAAAGTTAATTCTCCATCTCAGAAGATGCCTCCTCTCAACTCAGCCCCCTCTCTCCCTTCTCGGCCTCCAACGTGGGAAAGAGAGCCTGCACATCGGGCACCTGTAGGACTGACTCATTTCCCCTGTACCCAGAACCAGTGCTACCTTTAGATAGGCCCTGGTCTACTGATGATCTCTTTGCCATACAAGATTTTACATCTTTATTAAATCATCCATCAACAGCATTATTGGGTCTTGGGTAAGCCCAGGTCAGGCTGTCAGTAAGTGAGAATAAATACAGGCAGACATAGGAAAACAGACAAATTCCTGGAAAGACACCAGAGGAACACCTGTGGCTATCTAAAGCATTCTCGGGTCTCTACATCAATACTTCTCCCAGAGCACAGGTAAAATGAAATCAAAGAAATACTCCAGTTGTGGACACAGGTACCCCAATAGATGCAAAGATCCTATCTGTTCACCCACTTGGGGAGCATGAAGATGACGTTGGTGCCAGTCTTTTATCAGCTTGAACAAGCCCCAAACACTCTAGCCCCTTCCCTCCCAATCACCCTTCAAAGGCCCTAGAGCCCTGGACTCCTCTGCTCACCCACACATCCCTCTGATACTAACACACCACCTGGTCCAGAAGGAAAAGGAAACAGCCCACCCCTCACCTGGTCTCTGACTGCCAGTAAAGCAAATTTCCTTCTCACTTTGCCACAAGCAGAGATGAGAAAGGAGACATGAAAGTTTCCTTTCTTGTCTTTCCATTTTGCTCATTCACTATGACAACAGCAAATGACATCTCAAAATTGCCATCTGCCTCCTGCCTGCGCCATGCTCTCTTGCACAGATGGGACCAAGATCTGATTACAGGGATGTCAGATAGCTCATCCCAAGGAGCAGTTTAACAAAATGCAGTTGCTTTTCCCTCCAGGTGTCTACAAATCAGCTGGAAAGACCTCTTTATAAACCCATCAGATACTAAACATCCACATAAATGCTGCCCTTTTAAAAGAGATACCCTAATTCTAATAGTACCGATAACTGAAGACATTTCTGGAAGTTCTCTTTGGAACTGACTCCAGGGCTCTTTATGCACCATTCACTGAATGATTACCAAATGCCAAGCATCCTCCCATGCCAGGCACTGGGCTGTGACAATGATCAGAACAAAAGCCCTTCCCCCAGGAACATGTTGTCTAATGGAGGGAGCAAACATATAAGTAGGAAGATTACAACTCGATAAATCTTAGAACAAAGTTACACATGAGTGCACGGGGTCTAGAGAAAGAAGCCACCCACTCTTACTGGAGGGCCTGGGGAAGCTGGCTTTGTGGAGGGCATGACCTTGACGGATGAATGGCTGAAGAGCAGGGAAGACACCTAAGCAAACAGACAGCGGGGCTAACGCCTGGAACCGTAAAGGGCTGTGGCATATTCAGGGTGCTGAGAAGGAGGCAAGACAGGATCAGACAGGGAACGACCCCACTAGCTATACGAAGTGCAGACTTACTCCTATGAGCAATGGGTAGCTAAAGGCAGGAACATAACGGCACTTTTTTTTCTTTAGAAAGGTAACTCTGGTGTTTTGCAAAGTAGACACTGGAGTAGAACTGGAGATCATAAAAACAGGATACTCTCTACCCAGAGATTATAATGCGCCAAACACTGATAGATCTTTATTTTTTTTTTAAGATTTATTTATTTATTTATTTGACAGCGAGAGACACAGCGAGAGAAGGAACACAAGCAGGGGAAGTGGGAGAGGGAGAAGCAGGCTTCCCGCAGAGCAGGGAGCTCAATGCGGGGCTTGATCCCAGGACCCTGGGATCATGACCTGAGCCGAAGGCAGACGCCCAACGACTGAGCCACCCAGGCGCCCCACTGTTCTTTAAAGACCAGATCTCATTTGAAGAGCAGTCGTAAGAAGCAACAGCAAACATTTATTGAGTTATTACTATGGACCTGATAGTATGTATAGAACTTTAAAAGTATCATTTATTTAATCTTCAAAATAACTCCATGATAATAATTTCATAATACACGAAAGTCAGACCATCACGCTGTGTGCCTTAAACTTATGCAGTGATGTATGTCATTATTTCTGCGGGATTTCTCAATAAAACTGGGCAAAATATTAAATTATTAAATATTAAAATATTAAAAATTCATTTGATTTAAAATAAGCCCATGAGCTCAATATTATTTTGTCCATTTTCTAGACCTGAGGCTTAGAGAAGTTACATAACCCACCAAAGGTCATGTGGGTTGTAAGCAGTCAAGTCAGGATTCAAAACAAGAACCGTTCAGACTCCAAGGCCAGGAGCTGGGGGCACCGTGGCAGTTATTCAGCAGAGAGGAGGGCAGGTGGCCTCAGGGCCGGGTTTTAAAGCCAGAAGACAACTCTGAAGGAGAAGCAATAGGAGATGAGTGATAAGGAACAGCTGGGAGTCTAGGCTGACTGCCAGCCTTTGAGCTTGAGAGTCTGAATGGATTGTCTTGTACTGTTCTCCTGAGAAACAGAGGCGGGAGTACGCCGGGTTTGGGAGAAAAAGACTACCGAACTGTGTTTAGAACATGCTAGATAGGAGTTCTCCACAGACTATCCAGGTGAAAAAAAATCATCTTGAAAGTCAGCAAGGTACGGATGGTCACTGATGCCAAGTGTGAGGTAACATCCAGGGAGGACACGGAGAGCAGCCCAACGGACATGGAACCCAAGGGGAAACCAGAGGACACAGAGTAGCAGAGAGGAAGGAGACTGGCTGGAGGTGGGATGCCTGGAGGCCAAGGAAAGAAGATGTGAAGGAGTGTCTGCTTCCTCCAAAGTTATCTCCCTTCCTTCCCACCAATTCCCCACAATGTCCTCACCTCTGACCCAAGAAGGACCTGGAGCAGGTCGTCACAGCACCAGGGAAAACCTCCACCTCTTTATTCTCTCACATGGTTCTTGATCCCCAGAGCACCCAAAGTGTCATGATGAGATCTGAAGTTTCACTTCGGGAAGAGGTAGGTAGAGCAGGCCTGTGCCTCGTCCAGTTAGAGGACACTTAGGCCTCTCTGGATTTTATTAAAAAAAAAAAAAAAAAAAAAAGGGGGCCCCCCCCCCCCCCCACCCAATTGAACTCTCCATTAGATCTGGGGAAGGAAAGCTTCAGTGGGTAATAGAATACCTTTGCCTGCCTTTGGATTCTGTATATGGTGCATGCATGTGTAGAAATGTATATAGGTATATATTTTAGTATTCTACTAGCATCCAGCATTTCTCTGTAGTACTTACCACATTTATAACTAAATAATTTTGTAATTGGTTATTCAGTGTCTGTCTCTCCTGAATGTAAGCTCTATGATAGCAAAGACCAGGTTTATCTCTCTACCCCCAGAACCTAAGAGAGTACCTTAGATTTTTTTTTTAAATATTTATTTGGTTGACTGACTGAATGGATGGACGAAGGTATGGTTAGGTGATCAACAATACTCAATGTTGTGGAAAGGTTAAGAGGACTGAGGATTGAAACTAGAACAGGAATTTGACAGGTGGTCACTAGGGACCTTGGTGAGAGAGCTACAATGGACTGAAGGCTCTGGGTGCCTGACTGTTGGCTGGGAAGAGAAGTAGGGAGGGAGGGGACAGAGGCAGTGGACATACTCTCAGGAGTCCCACTGTGGACAGGGACTGATTCAGCAGACTCTCTTGGTTTCCAATTTTATATCCTTTTTCTCTATTTTTGGAAACAGTAAAAGATCACTGAGAGTAAGTTCAGGTGACCCAAGGAGATGGTCAAGCTCAGTGTCATTTCTAGTCAAACAGTATCTGATTTCAAAAGTTAAATGACTGATCTTCTAATATGACTCACAAACTACTTCCAAAGGCAATTTCCAAACACAGATTACAAAACAGATACATTTTGATAATGGCGGCATCACTGAAATCAAAGTGACTATTTGAATAAGTGCATGCTTGGCTGTAAGAGTTCTGCTATATTTCCTTTCCTGTTTTTAAGTCTTTAGAGTCACATACAATAGGTAGAAGTAGCAAGACTTAGAGGAGTGCTTTCCTAAAATGCATTATACACCTAAGGATGACTTTTTGCAGCACATGAATAAATTTATATATGTTTGCTTGTACTGACTTTTGCGTATATTAGAAAAAAATACACATAGTCCATCCAACTCATAATATCACATATACTGCACAAAGTGTCTTTGATCAATAAATTTAAATTATGATTTGAAATTTTAAATATAAGGTTTTTTAAAGAAACTTACTTAAAAAAATAATACTTTTGTTATGGCAAACATCATCAGGGTGGTATACAAATGACTCAAGCTTGGGAAACACTGGTAGGAGAGAGCGAGATCGTGGGCTTCCCAAGCATCCTGACCAAAGTTCAAGTCCTGTCTCTGCCATTTACTAGTTACTGAAGGACCCTGTGAAAGTTGCCTAACTTCTATGAGTCTCAGATTACTCACCTATGAAATGAAAAATAACAATACTTACTTTACAGTGTTTCTCTAAGGACAAAGCGAAACCAGGCATGCAGACCCCTAGCAGAGCCCTGGGCATGTAAGTTGGCACACAGCCAACAGTAACTATCGTGCTTGACAGTCCAAACATTATACACATATTCAAACACATCCCAGCCATGGGGCTATTTATATCGATGTGTCCATTTATTCCAGCTGACCTTTGTTTTCCATTTGAACTGCGTTATTGCTGCAAGTGAGCACTCACTAGGCTGAAAAGGAAGATCAGCAACAAAACCCAGGGGCAGAGGCTAAGAGGACGCCTGGAGGCATTTGGACTCAGGCCTGAATCGGGTTAGGGGGCTCAGAACGGATCCCAGCCCATAAACAGTCTGTGTTTCAATAGCAATGTTACCCTTCTAAGAGCGTGGCAAGAGTGAGCGTCAACCTTATAATTATTAACTCAGATTCTAAACATGAAAAGCCAAATGGCCCGAGCAGAAGGAAAGCCAGCGACAGTCTTATCAAGAATGAATCAGCCTCTTTGATCTTGAGGTAAACCAACCCACTAAACATCAAGCTTCCACCTGGGGTTTTTCCAGGCACATTTTAAAATGGTTGCCTAATTCTCAGCTGTCTGGAGGTTCCAGTCCAAACTGGCCTTAAGGAAAAAAAAAAAAAAGAGTCCCACCACCTTGCCAGCGTTCACACCCCATTAAAAACATACACAGATCCATGCTGCTAATCCAAAGAAACAGGGCCTCCGAAAATAAGTTCAACTAAAAACAATCCAGGTAAAGTGAAGATAAATTATTCCAACCAATTTGGAACTAAACAGTGAAGTATAAAGAGAGGGGGTAAACAGAATGGAAACAGCGAGCAGAGGTAGAAGGCATTCAGAGGTTAGGCAGAAAAGCAGACGGTGGGAGGAAAATCCAGACGTGGACATCGAAGAAGGTAATACAGGGAGGGAGTTGGTACAGGAGAGGTGTGCAGAAATGAGTGGAAAACAGGGAAAAGAAGGCAGAAGGGGGTTCAGCTGGGCAAGAGCCACGGTTATCAGCATCTCTCACTACATTTCCAGAAGCCTCTCCCCTACCTACCCACCAAGACCGTGCGCACGCTGCACCGTGAATTAATCAGCATGTAAATCACCCCCTTTATCTGCGGAAATTTAATTTAGCTGCCAATCTTGATTGACGGCACAGAGGCCTCCTCCCAGAAAGATCGCAGCTCTCAGGGAAAAATGCCTTTTCTCTCCTTAAATCAAAGCTTGCATAAACCCAAGGAAACAGCTGCAGCTGGAGCCACAGACTGTGTGAAAGGTGGCAGGCTGAGGACGGTAATTATAATTAGCAGTTACATAACATGTTTGTTCTTCAAAGTGCTCTACAAGAATCAGCTAATTAATAGCTTACTATGCCCCATGCGGATCCACTGTTTTTTCCTGTAGGGACTAATCCCTGTACCCCCATTGAATTCTGAACGGAAGCAAAACAGCCTGAGCAATGAGGCAAATGGCTGAGGGTCCAGAAGCTATGCCCAGCTGTCTCATCAAGGGACTCCACAGGTATCTCAGGGCCAGGAACATTGCCCCAAATGTTTAATTCGGCATCCCGTGAGACAGACGCCTCACTGCCTCCAAATAATTCTTAAAGTGCTATTAGAGATACACTAACGGGAGGGGGACGGAGGGATGGTCCAATATGGCATTAGCTCTTCTCAATTTCCCTAATGAGACTGGGACTCTGGAGTCCTTGCTGTTAGTTACAGGACTGCCCTTGCTTCTCCGTGCAGGTAGGGTGAGTCAACGAGAACTCTCTAAGAACAGGTTGAACCAGATCTCTGGGCTCCCATCCAAGTCTACCCTTCTTCGTTTTCTAGGCCTCCAGTCTCTAGCCTCCATCCTCTTCCATTTATGGCGGAGATGACCCGATGTGGGAACTGCACGGCACAGATGGCTCCAGCAGCAGGGCCAAAGTCTTCGTCTAGTCCAGGGAAGTCCATGAACATCCCGAATTTGTGAAACCTTGTATGTACGTGTGTACGTGCATTTCTTTGGAGGAAAGTTGGTTTACCCTGCTGTCCAATGAATTCCAAGAAGGTAGTGTCTAGCAAAGTACCTCACCCCTAGCGTATGCTAAATAGATACCTATTAAATCAATTTGATAGATTTCACCAAATTCCTATGCCCCAAAAGGTTAGGAACCATTGCTCTATGGACAAATAATCACCAGCAGTCCCCATGTTTTGCTTGCTCTGGCTAGACTTCCCTATGGAAAACTCTGACCAGCAAAACCCAAGACATGCTACAATAATTCAGCGGCAAGTCAAACCGGAGACCCAGACCAAAGCTCCCTTGAGATTTCACTCTTCATAGATCTGTCGTTAGAGCCAACATCTAGAAACACATCATTCCCCGGGGTGCCTGGGTGGCTCAGTCGTTAAGCATCTGCCTTCGGCTCAGGTCATGATCCCAGGGTCCTGGGATCGAGCCCCGCATCGGGCTCCCTGCTCCGTGGGAAGCCTGCATCTCCCTCTCCCACTCCCCCTGCTTGTGTTCCTGTTCTCACTATGTCTCTGTCAAATAAATAAATAAAATCTTAAAAAAAAAAAAAAAGAAAGAAACACATTCCCAGAGCCATTCAACACTGTGTAACAACCATTTGTCACACCCCCTGTCCAGCCGTCACAAATAGAGTCACTGCCTTCTCCCACCTTGTCACTTGGAGGCAGTGGTGTGAACTAAAGAATGCGGAAGCGCATACAATAATTTCAGTAGAAGACCTAACGTGTACACGGTGCTTTAAACTTTTCAAAATTTCCCCACAGATGATCTCATTTGATTCCCTCTCAGTAACTCTTGGAAATAGGAAAAGCAGACTTTACTTTCCCCCTTTTACAGATGAAGAAACTGAGGATCTGAGCAAATAATGCCTTTCCTGATGACACACAGCCCATATATGACCCCTCTAGACTTTGAACTGTTGTCTCAGAAGCCCTTTTCACCAGTAACTCCATTTCGGGGTATATCCCCAAAAGAATTGAAAGCAGGGTCTCAAAGAGATATCTGGATGCCTATGTTTACAGCAGCACTATTCACAGTAGCCAAAAAGTGCACGCAACGCAAGTGTCCATCAGTGGATGAATGGATCGACAAAACGTGGTAAATACATACGATAGAATGTTATGCAGCCTTTAAAAAGGAGGAAACCCCGCCCTTTGCAACAACATGGATGAACCCGCAGAACATTATGCTAGGTGAAGTAACCCAGTCACGGAAGGACAAATACTACCTGATTCTGCTTATATGAGGTATCTAAATTAGTCAGATCCACAGAAACAGAAAGTAAAATGGTGGTGCTGTGGGGAGCAGGAAGTGGGGTGTTACTGTTTAATGGGTACTGAGTTTCAGTTTTGCAACATGAAAAGGGTCTGGAGATGGGTTGCACAACAGTGTGAATATACTTAATACTTAAAAATGGTTAAGGTGGTAAATTTATGCTGCGTGTGTTTGACCACAGTTAAAAATTTTTAAATAGGGGTGCCTGGGTGGCTCAGTCGTTAAGCGTCTGCCTTCAGCTCGGGTCATGATCCCAGGGTCCTGGGATTGAGCCCCGCATCGGGCTCCCTGCTCGAGAAGCCTGCTTCTCCCTCTCCCACTCCCCCTGCTTGTGTTCCCTCTCTCGCTGTGTCTCTCTCTGTCAAATAGGTAGGATCTTAAAAAAAAAAAAAAAATTTTAAATAAACATTAAAAACCTCCTTACCCATTACACCACCTTTTTTCTGAAAAGCTGCCAACGTGGGCTAAGTTAGGACTTTTCAGTATGCCCCCCTGAGAAAAATGATTCCTGGAGAAACATTTCTCAGCCAGCCAAGCAGAGGAGACAGGAATCACTGTGATTTAAGGTGAGTTGCAAAAGACGGATGCACGAGATTTTCTACGCAACTTATTTTCCCAATCCACCCTCCAAATCTCTGGGGTTCAGCTGACACACCTAAAGCCAGGTGCCCCCTCAGGTAAATGGCAGAGCCAGTGGGCACAGTGCACAGGGAGCGATGGGTCGGCTGGAGGTCCCAGGCTCCTGCTGGCTGTTTGCTTCCAGGAAAAAAAAAAAGCCCCACCAAACAGAGTCCTTACCTGTGCATGTCAAAGTACTTTCTCTCCAAGTGCCTTTCTCCGTGCAAACAGAAGTGATCTTTCCTCCAGGGCTCTCAAAGCCCTCCTGACAGACATAGTGAGCCACACTGCCCGGGCTGGAGCTGTGATTCCCCACCAGCAGTGCATGCCGCACCTGCGGAGGATGGCCGCACTTGATCTCTGCAAGGGGAGGAAGCACAGCACTAGTTATGATGCCCAACTTCTATCCCTATAGTCCACATTTTAGGAAAAAACATTTAGTCATGCTAGAGTCCCCTCATATGGGAAAAGAGAAAACATGAACCCCATCAAATAATCCAGTTGCAGATATAGAAGACTGTTCGGAAGGAGAGAAAATAGACATGCCTGACTTCAGTGAAACTCACAAACGTGTACACACAGAAAATATTCCAATTATAAGATGATTTACATTATGGAGAATTCCTTGGTCAATGAAATAATCCATTCTGGGGTCCTTTTAAATATTAAGATTTTCAGGTGCCTTTTCCTATGTATCATGAGATCACAAACTCCTAATAAGTAGATGATAACACAATTACAGTTTTGTTCCCAACGGATTATTAAATGAAATAGATAGAAAATCTTTGAACTTTTTGGGGCACCTGGGTGGCTCAGTCGATTAAGCGGCCGCCTTAGGCTCGGGTTGTGATCCCAGAGTCCTGGGATCAAGTCCCGTGTCGGGCTCTCTGCTCAGCAGGAGCCTGCTTCTCCTTCTCCCTCTGCCCCTCCCCCTCTCTCTGCCCCTTCCCCTGCTTGTACCCTCTCTCTGACAAATAAAATCTTAAAAAAAAAAAAAACTTTGAACTTTTTAAAGCAAATTAATAGGGAAAGTATATACAGTCTAAACATTCACTTTATGTTTCTATAAAAGAAAAAATCAGCTGCAGAGGGAGACAAGACAAGAATTATAAAATTGATATGAAATTTCTTCTCAGCAACTCTGACTACTAGAACACAGTAGAATATTTACAGAAGCTATCTGAAGGAAATGGATTATGATGCTACCATTTCAGACTCAGCCAAACTCTACCTCATGTAAGAGTAAAAGAAAGTCATCTTCAGATATTTTGCAATTTTTTAAAATTCATGTTTATCTTTTCTGAAAAAAAACAAAACAAAACGAACTCCAGCCCAATAACAACAACACAGAAGAACCAGAATAAATATCCTAAGAAAAGTAGAGGACAGGTTTTAGAAGAAACACTAGCAAGCAATGAAATCAGCATGATGTGCAGGTTAAGTTTCCATAATCATTTAAATGTGACTGGAGAGCTTGATACAACTAGTAGTAAAGGATTCTGTAACAAAAAGTTGAACACTGTAAAAAAAAATGAATAATTTGAAAATAAAATTCCAAATTATTTCAAAAACCCTGAGCAATGAGGCAAAGGGAAGAAACGAACATGTCAAATTCCTCATGTGGTCACGGGGAGTTCATAGATATAATTTTATTCAAGAACACATAATAAATCTAAAATAAGGAGGCCATAATCATTGCAAATGTAGCCAAGAGTCCCAGTTATACCCAAAAACAGAGAAAAATATATATATAACTTCTGGTATTCATTCTGATTTTTAGTTTTCTCCCCAGTCTGTAGAAAGCCAAGAAAATCAGGCACTCTTGACATGCAGGCTTTTAAAATATAAGTGTGAGGTGTCTGGGTGGCCCAGTCAGTTAAGCATCTGACTCTTGGTTTCAGCTCAGGTCCTGATCTCAGGGTCTTGAGATCAAGCCCTGTGTTGGGCTCTGTGCTCAGCATGGAGTCTGCTTGAGTTTCTCCTTCCCTCTCTCCCTCTGCCCCTCCTGCTTGTGCTCTCTCTCTCTCTCCCTCTCTCAAATAAATAAATAAATCTTTTTTAAAAAATAAAATGTAAGTGCATTTATTGAGATAAAGAACTCAAGATAGAGAAAATGGTATGATCTGTTCCCAACTCCCCATCAACCATTCTTGGCCTTAGAAACAGGTAGCTTCTCTTAAATGAGCTTCCGATAAAGAACTGGTGGATTTAATGGAACTGCACATGCCTCCATCCCACTATGAATGCTTGGTCTGTTGCAGAACCCCAGAGTTCTTTCCCTGAGGGAGGCCTCCCAGAGCAGGCTTTCATCTGTTGTCATCGACGTTCTCATGAGAACATCAATACAACAGCTCAACCTACCCGGCTCTGAGATTTTTTTTTTTTTTAAGATGTTTATTGATTTATTTGACAGAGAGAGAGCACAAGCAGGGGAAGCAGCAGAGGGGGAGGGAGAAGCAGGCTCTCCACTGAGCAGGAAGCCCAATGTGGGGCTTGATCCCAGGACCCTGAGATCATGACCTGAGCCGAAGGCAGACGCTTAACCAACTGAGTTACCCAGGCGCCTCAGCTCTGAGATTTTAAAAGAAGAGTTAGTTTCTGGTCAGTGCAGATTCACATCATGAGCAGTTACGAGACCAGAACCAGGTGGTCATTTCATAAATCCTCCAACCCTGCCCACCTCGCAAGTCCCATATTTGCTCACAGGGACTTGTTCCCTTTTCATATGTGTTTACCAGACACAACGGCTACCTCATCATGTTTTTCCCAGCATCAAACCTTTAGAGATTATCAACAGGCCCCAAACACTGCAAGACATGAGTATATTTGTGTGTACCTGGGCAACCAACCGAATAGGTGGTTAATGTTTCATAAGGCTGCCCAGTCATTGTTGACATCTAAAATAACTTCTAGTTAAAGCCAGGGTTCAGTTATAGCAGGAAATGGAACAGCAGTGAAGAGATTGAGGGTGTAGGTTTATGTAGGCTTATGGACCTTGAAGCTGGAATTCTAAACAGCACACTGGAGAGGTTTCAGAAAGAACCCAGTGATAGATCACTGGATTAAGGGAGAAGCACAGATTCTAAAGGTGTAAGAGTACAGAAGATACCTAAATTGGCTTCCATCCTCAGACGTGACCAAGAATAATGGAAGGCGTGTAAAAATATAAGATTTTTTTTTTAATTAATACCAAAAATATTAATTTGGGAGTTGATGAGAGATCAGTAGCTTGGTCTCTAGGGACTACGGTTCAGAGACTCAGGGAGTTGCCCACTAGTGGGCAACCATGACTCTGTGAGTTCCCATATCATAGCTACTCAAGTTGGACAGTTCCTTGGTGAGAGACAGACAGGATTCTAGCATGGCTTGGATTAAACCACGGTTCTAAACGGCAGCTGTACATCTGAATTGCCCAGGGAACTTGGAAAAAACACCCATGCTGATGCTCACAGCCTCTCCCCTTACCCAGAGATAATTCTTCCGAATCAGTAGTACTGAGTTGGGTTCTTGGCATCCACATTTCTACAAGGTTCCAAGTTTGATTTTTATGCACACACTCAGCTTAGAACCTAAATTAAATACTGGGAGGAATAGCTACCATTTATCATCACATGCTTGAGGGTTTAATGTCTTTCTATGAATACATTATGTCTTCCCAAATATATGGCCAGTTTGTAAAGGACAGAATCTTTATTTGATCATCTCCTGCACCCCCACAATGCCTACTTAAAATAATACGTTTTGCATAGTAAATACTCAATAAATAATTGTTCACTGATAGCTTGCTACTACTTTATCATTGTTCGAGATGTAATAAATGTAACTTTGATATGAATAACGGCCCCTGAGGAAGGAAAGAGGCATCAGTAAATTGTAAGTATAAATAATAAGACAGGTATACATTACATTTGTTATCCAACAGAAGTAACTCACACCTACCAAATACCAAGTAGATGAAAGAGGAGTAAAAGACACAAAAATTAATATCACTTTTGTACCAGGGAATTCTGGGAATGTTGTTCAAACCTCAATCATTTTAATCATAATAGCATTCATCAAAGTCCTACTAAACATAAGTCTGTTAGATACATACTATCTTATTTATTCATCAAAGAAAACCTTGCAAGGTAGATGCTTTTTTTTCTCACGTAGTTTATAGATACGAATATGGAGCTTAAGAGCTCCTAAGAGCTTAAGTCACGTTCAAAAGTCACACCACTAGTAAAAGATAGAGCCAGTACTCAAGCCATGGGATATATGACCCCAAAGTCCAGGTCCATTAAATCTGGGGAGCCTCACCATGAAGGGGTTCAGTCTAGGCCCTGATTAGGACTGAGCTTAGAAGTTAGCTAAAACCTCAGGAGAAAAGGTCACATAAAGGAGCATTCAAATCAGTATGGAAGAGTTCTTTAACAACTCCCTCTTCTGAATCTTGTCTCCCACAGCTTTCCCAGAGCAAGATAGCTGCTGGAAACAAGACTTAACCCTACATCTGTGTGATACCCTGAAGCCTTCTTAGTACTGACGTTTAAACCCGTAACATGGGGGTCTGGCCTGGGTCTGGCCTGGCACATGGCCCTGTCACAGATATTCCCATCATGCTTAAGAGAGATGGCAACCACGGCCACTTCTACTCAGACCAAAGGGTACCCAAGGAAGCAGGTGGCTACTATTAAAAAATACTCCAAAATCAATCCAACGGAGGCTGCAATAGGTGGTAATAAAAATATGGTTCTACACGAAATGCCCAAAGTTCTCACGATCACAAGGAAATAAGCCCTTTTAAAAGGGTTTATAACCAAAGGAAAGAAAAAAATAAGGAGCACAAATTTGCATTACATATGCATTCGGGGTGTTCATTTAAGCACACATTTCTCTGGCTAATTATATCACGAAGGAACGTTTGGATACGTATCAGCAATACAGTCAACTAATTATGAACACAGCTGAGATTTTTTTAAGATTTATAAGATTTATTTATTTATTTGAGAGAAAGAGGGCAAGCACACAAGTGGGGGGAGGGGCAGAGGGAGAGAACCCCCAAGCAGACTCCCCGCAGAGCATGGAGCCCAATGGGGAGCTGGAGCTCACGTCCTGGGGAGCACAACCTGAGTGGAAACCAACAGTCGGATGCTTAACCATCTAAGCCACCCAGGTGCCCCCATGGCGGGGAATTTTTCCTTACCATCCTACTATCTGTGATGTTATTCAAATAATCAAC